ATCTGTCTGTCGTAATAGGTTCACGGAGCAGAAGATAAGAACTCATGCTGCCCTCTGTAGACCAGTATCTTGTCACAACAATGTTGGAATGACGTTTGGTTCATGTTTTGTCGCACATTCTTAAGAGTAGTTGTGCAATCGCTTCCAAGCTGTTAGCTGTATTAGCAAACTTTAAGTTCGTGTTCTTTATGTGTGTGTGTGTGTGGGGGGATAATATTTCTTCTAAATAAACTTTCGTTTTTATCTTTTGAAAGTGTGTGTGTGTTTTGAGTTAGAGTCTCATTCTCACCCAGGGCCATGATCACAGCTCATCCCAGCCTGGATCTCTTGAGCTCAGGTGATCCTTCAGCCTCAGCCTCCTGAGTAGCTGGGACTGCAGGCACACACCACCATGCCTGGCAATTTTTAAAAAAAATTTAATTATTTTGCCGGGCTCGGTGGCTCAACCTGTAATCCCATGCCTTTGGGAGGCTGAGGTGAGTGGATTGCTTGAGCCCGCGGGTTCGAGACCCGCCTGGGCAGTGAGACTTCATCTCTACAATAAATCAAAAAATCAGCCAGGCATGGTAGCACATGCCTGTAATTCCAGCTACTTGGAAGGCTGAGGCAGAAGGATCGCTGGAGCCCAGCAGGTCGAGGCTGCAGTGGCCGCTCCCGGCCACTGCACTCCAGTCTGGGCGACCGAGTGAGACTCCAACTCAAAAATAAATAAATAAATAAATAAATTTAATTATTTTGAAGAGATAAGGTCTCACTACTTTGCCCAGGCTGGTCTCGAACTCCTGGGCTCAAGCAATCCTCCCATCTTGTCCTCCCAAAGTACTGGAATTACGGGCATAAGCCACCACACTCGGCCTCTTTGGAACATTTTAAAGAATTGAGCTTTATAAAATGAGACTGTCTCTAGGTGGAAGGAGGCTCACTTTCACTGAAACCCAAATTGGAGGTGCACAGCACAGACTCTTTGCAGCCAGGCCACCTGGCTCTTCTTCCTGTCTCTGCCACTTGCTGGTCGTGTGGCCCTGGACAAGTCACTTAACTTCTCCGTGCATTCTTTTCAAATCTGCAAAAATGAGAAGAGCATTGTTAGAAGGATTTAATGAGTTCAGATTTATAGAGTGCGAAGCATGTGCTAAGTACTACATTAGGACTTGTTAAAAAAGAGAAACAACCAAATAATTTTTCTTTTTTTGTAATATATCAGTATTTTTTATTTTGATATTTTGGGGTTAAGGGTTAGGTATACAAATATGCTTCATTCAGGCACCCTTGTTGATAAGGGGTGTCTCCCCGTCCCCAGACAGATATTGACTACCGTTAATCCCACCTCCCTTCACCTCTCCCCCTAATTTTTCTAATGATGCGGCCTTTCAGTAAATTGAGGTGTTTGCTTCTGTAACAAAACAGGGTAGGTCTAATGTCTGGCACTAGTGACATGAACAGGTTGCTGTGAATTTATTCAGTTGTCTGCTGATCAACAGAATCTGGAGACATGCCATTAGATATGAGTCATTGTAAACTTGTGGGTCCACGCCTATAGAAGGGGTGGTTCCTTGTGAGAAACAGCCTCAGTAAATCACGGAGGCTTTTATGTGATAAAGTGCTCCTCTTTGTTTTACTCCTCTGCTTACAATTCTTTTTTTTTGTTTTGTTTTGTTTTTGCATTGGGGTCTCACTCTGTCACCCAGGCTGGAATGCATCTTTATTTCTCTACTACTTACAATTCTTTTTTTTTTTTTTTTTGAGTTGGGGGGGGCGTCTCACTTTGTCACCCAGGTTAGAATACAGTGGCACGATCACAGCTCACAACTGCCTTGACCTCCTGGCCTCAGGTGATTCTTCCACTTCAGCCTCCTGAGTGGCTAGGACTACAGGCATATGCCACCACACTTGGCTCATTTTAAAATTTTTTTTGTAGAGATGAGCTATTGTTATGTTGCCCAAGCTGGTCCTGAACTCCTGGGCTCATGCAATCCTCCTGCCTTGGTCTCCCAAATGTTGGGATTACAGGCATGAGCCACCATGCCTGGTCATGGTGTTTTTAATTCTTTTTGAAAAAATTAAGAATAAATGACCAAGGTACCACCTTGGAACAAAAGAAGGCTGGTATCATATAGTAACAAATACTATAACTCAAAGGCAGTTTTTTTGTTTTGTTTCGTTTTTGTTTTTTAGAGATGAGGTCTTGCTATGCTGCCTAGGCTGGTCTCCAACTCCTGGGCTCAAGCTATCCTCCCACCTTAGCCTCTCAAAGTACTTGAATTACAGGTGTGAACCATGGCGTCCAGTCTTTAACACAGTCTGAAATCACAAAAACCCAATGAAAAGGAAGGAAGGATATATCACTTGGGTTCGAGACCCGCCTGGGCAACTTGGCGAGACTTCATCTCTACAATAAATCAAAAAATCAGCCGGGCATGGTAGCACGCGCCTGTAGTTCCAGCTCCTTGGAAGGCGGAGGCGGAAGGATCGCTGGAGCCCAGCGGGTCGAGGCTGTGGTGACCGGGAGCGGCCACTGCACTCCAGTCTGGGCGACAGAGTGAGACTCCAACTCAAAAAAAAAAAAAAGAAAAGAAAAAAAAAAAGAAATCAGTTAATTTATCGCCATTAGAAAAAGGTGGGGGAATTCTCAGAGCTTTGCTCGGGAACCAAACATTTAAGTTTATTTTAAACCCTTGCTCTGTGCTTCAGATATTAGGATTTCTGTTTTCAGTATTGTGTAGAGATTTAAAGATAAGACACCTCTGTAGATATTGCTAGTTTTGTAAATACTGATATGACTTCTTGTGTTTTTCATATCATCTACTGAAACTAATTAAATAGCCCTGGATTTATTATTTTTTTTACTTATTTATTGAGTTGGAGTCTCACTCTGTCAACCAGGCTGGAGGAGAGTGGCACGCTCCTAGCCACTGCAGCCTCGACCTGCTGGGCCCTGGCGATTCTTCCTCCTCAGCCTTCCGAGCAGCTGGAACTACAGGCACGCACTACCACGCCTGGCCAATTTTTTATTTATTGTAGAGACGAGGTCTCGCCAAGTTCCCCGGGCGGGTCTCGAACTCGCGGGCTCAGGCAATCCTCTTGCCTCGGCCTCCCAAAGTGCTGGGATTACAGGTTGAGCCACCCAGCCTGACCTAGTTCTGGATTTAAAAAATAAAGGTCTTTAACTTTGTGAATCTGTAAAGCTACTTTTTTGGGGGGGGGGAGCAGGATTTATTGAGAGGACAGAGAAACTCCCACAGTAGGGGGGGACCCGAAGGGATTACCCCTCTGGGCCTGAAAACCTGGTGTTTAAATAGCCCTAAATCCAAGCCGATTGGCTAGCACCAGCTGTGAGTTGTAGCTATTCTGATTGGTCAATATTAGGGACCAATCGGCAGGAAGTAGGATCTAATGGTGAGCTTTTTGATCCCAGCAGCGAGTTCTTAAGCTTTAGTTTGAGAGGCTCACAGGGAGCTTGTTTGCAATGCTGTTGTTTTTTTGGGGGGGGAGGGCTGGAGTCTCACTGTCACCCAGGCTGGGGTGCAGTGATACGCTCTCAGCCACCACAGCGATAACCTTCTGGGCTCCGATAATCCTTCCGCCTCAGCCTTCCAAGTAACCAGAACCACAGCCGTGCGCCACCATGCCTGGTTAATTTTTGATTTATTATAGAGACGACATCTTGCCAAGTTGCCCTGGTTAGTCTCGAACCCATGACTCAGGGCAATCCTCTCGCCTTGGCCTCCCAAAGTGCTGGGATTACAGGCTGAGCCACCGAACCCGGTCCTGTAAAACTTTTAGTGAGAGATAACTGAGCCTGGTGGTCGAGGACTTGGGCATCAAGCTAGGTGGATGTGGCCTTGAATTTTGGCAAGTTACAAAGCCTCAGTTTGCTGACAGGCTTGTATGTAAGCCTCATGTTATTCAAGGGGGCACCCCAAAGAAAATCAGAATTATCTTTTGGATGGCAGTTCCCTTGCAGTACAGGCTTCCCCCACTAGGTTAGTGTTCTAGGAACCCATTGGCATCAGTGTACCAGCTAGCATTGTTGTGAGAGGCTGTGTTTGGCTCCAGTGAATTTTGTTTTTTGGAGATTCTTTTAAAAAATGACATAACCACCTTGCCCCACCGTCCCTTTTCATCCGATCCCACCCTGAGCAACTTGTTTCCCTGGATGATAAAAGTCCTCAAAGAAAAACATTTTGCTGATGTGGAAGAGGTGAAACAAAAGACGGCTGAAACACTAAAAGGCATCAACGTTGATGAGTTCAAAAACTGTTTTGAACAGTGGAAAAAGTGTCTCGATAGGTGTATTGCATCAAACAGAGTGTATTTTGAAGGTTACTGCAATTTAAATGTGTGAATAAATACACAATTTTTAATAAATAAATCCTGGGGTTTTTGGGTCCCCTCATGTCACCTTAGAGTATTGTGAGAAGTTAATGTGTTCCTATGTGCAGAGTGTTTGATACCTTGCCTGGCACAGAAGTTGATGGCTACTTCTGTGAACCTGCCTCCGTGGAGAATGGTCACTTCATCACTCTTTATTTATTTACTTTTACTTTTGCTTTGTTTTGTTTTTTTAGAGATGGGGGTCTCCCTATGTTGCCCAGGCTGGTCATGAACTCCCAGACTCAAGCCATCTTCCCACCTTGGTCTCCCAAAGTGCTGGGATTACAGGCGTGAGTCACTGAGCCTGGCCAATAATTTTTTTTAAAGACGAGACACTCCTAAATTATCTAAGACTTGGTTTCTCTCTTTTCCTACCATGCCATTTTATTTTTTTATTATTTATTTTTCACTTGAGAGCAATAAACTAGGATATGGCATGCCATTCTATTATGAAAGCCTCGACATGACTGATACATTTAAATGTGGAATTAAATACTCACACCCAGTTCAAGTGTTCGTGTCCGAAATGAAAGCTTGAAAATTTGAGGCATGAATACTATGTAATTTGAGTGTAGGAGAAATCTTAAGACCTTACACTCAGAGAGACTTCATGAAAACTGAGGCCAACTCCACGAAAACTGTTTATTGCTTCAGAGTATCACACTTCTTTGCATTCACAATGTCTAGTTCAAGTCTCTCCCACAGCTGGTGCTCAGTAAATATTGGTAAAGAACGAACGGTTCAGGGAGGAGGTTTTACAGTAATTCGTGTGATCGGTGACATGCGTGAATTCACCTCCAACGATGGACGCCCTAGGTACAGGTTCAAGGGAAAGACCATGAGAAATATTTCCTGATCTCTCAAAACAGGGAGCTCCAATAACTTCAGCAATTACGTAAGTCATAATATCAGAAGCCCCCCCCCCATCCCACGCTCCACCATTTGAAAGACCTGGGACCACAGCACTTTAGAACTGGAGGCAGTCTCCTAGGCCAAGCCCTTCGTCTCGAAGGGGACGAAGCCGAAACTTGAAGCGCTGGAGTCATTACTGCAAGTTCCACGGTGGGTCAGGACTGGAAGGCTGGTCTCTGAAGCCGTCATTCCACCACCTGCTTGATTGTGAGACCATGTCCGGTTACTCAAGCGTATCTTTCCATAGAAAAACGGGAACACAAAAGCGACGTTCTGAGGCCCATTCAGCTCAGACGGCGGACACCAACTCACAAGGCACGTGCATGCAGGACGCTGCACCGCCGACCTCAGGGCACCGCCCGCGATGCTGACCTAGCCCCAAGATTTGAATGAATGCACTCAGCTAGCGGGGGAAACGGCTGGGTAACGCGCTCTCAGCCGCTGGAGAGGAGGGGGCAAGACACGACAACAAGCGGGATCGCAGGGTGGGAAGCCCACACACACGCGGGCACAGAATGAAGGCGCGCGCGGGGGCCGTGCCGGGCGGTGGGCAAGAGGGTGTGATCAGACGACCCGGGCTTCCAGAACGGTTCTGGCAAGACCGAGGCGCCCCCCACACGCCCAGCTCCGCCGGAGAGCCCTGGGAAGTCTGCAGGACTTCCAAGCCCGAGCGGTCGAGTCCCCGCAGCCCGCGCCGAAGCCCTCCCCCCGCGCTTCCTCGCCGGCTCGG